TTTGCTGGGTAAAGTATTTTTTGTTGGCAGCTGTCCTAGTTACTTTTTTGTTGCTGGGATAAAATATCTGGCACACACAAGTCAAAGGAGGAAAGTTTTATGATTTTAGCTCACAGATGGTAGAGATTTCAGTCCATAATCTCCTAGCTCCAAAGCAGAGGACAAATAGTCCATGGAGGGCAGGCAGGAAGTAGCAACCTTCCATTTTTCCTTTTATTCCATCCAGGCTACAAGCCTATTAGATGGTGCCACTCACACCCAGAGTGGATCTTCCCTCTTCAGTAAATCCACCATCCCATCCACACCTAGAACAGTGCTAAACCAATCAGTGGGTAATCCGGTCATCACACCTTAATTTGGTATGGCACACCCATGATCCAGCCACTCCCAAAAGCGTCACCTATGAGCACATGAAGCTTTGGGAGTACATCTAGATACAAGTCATAACAGGAATTTTATTCCTTCACTACTTTTAATATTTCATCCTACTCTCTCCTTGTCTGCAGGTTTTCTTCTAAGAAGTCCAATTAAAATCATATTGGAACTCCTCTAAATGTGATGCATTTATCTCTAATTGCTGTCAGAATTTTGAACTTGTGATTTTTGATAGCTTGATTATTATATATCTTGGTGAATTCTTTTTTGAGCTGAATTTTATTGTGGTTCTCTGCTCTTCCTAGAATTGGAAATTTACTTGTGTGTGTGTATGTGTGTGTGTGTGTGTGTGCACGCGTGTGTGTACTGGGGATTGTCCCCATTGAGTGCTGAGCTAATCTATAGCCCTTTTTTATTATTTTGTTTTGAGATGGGGGTCTCACTAAGTTGCCCTGGCTGGTCTAGAGCATGTGATCCTCAGTTTAGCCTCTCTAGTAGCTGGGATTATAGGTGTGTAACATCATGGCATTCATTCATTCATTCATTCAGTGGTACTGCAGACTGAACTCAGAGGCTTCCAACTGAGCTATAGCCCCAACTGTTTTTTTATTTTTTATTTCAAGATGAGGCCTCACTAAGTCACTAAATTTCCTAGACTGGGCTTGAACTTGTGACACTCCTGCCTCAGCCACCTACAGGACTAGGATTATGGGCATGTACCACCACACCTAGATTCCATTATTTTTTATTTTGGTACTGAGAATCAAACTCAGGACCTTGTGCTTCCCAGGCAGGTGCTGTTCCACTGTGCTATATCTCCGGCCCATTATTTTTTAAAACATAATTTTTCTGGTCCCTCTTCTCTTATAGAATGATGCATCTGACTTATTGGTGGCATCCCATAATTCTAGTAGGCTTTCTTTTTCCAGTACTAGGGACTGAACCCAGGGCCTCATGCATGGTAGGCAAGCTTTTTACATGGAGCTACATACCCAGCCCATGATGCGGTAATTTCAAAAGTTCTGTTTTTGAATGTCTTGTCAAACCAGCTGCTGAAATTTCTATTGGATTTGTCAATTTAGGCATTGTACTCTTCATCTCTTGAATTTCTATTTGGCTTTATGTTTGTTTCTATTTCTTTGTCAAACTTCTCATACTCTCCATACACTGTAATTTCATTTAATTTTTTTATCTGTTCACTGACCATTTTAAAGAAGGTTACTCTGAATCCTTTCTGTCTTTTTTATAGATCTCACTTTCATTAGGATCCACTGTTGGAGCTTTGGAAGTATCATGATTTCCTGAGGCTTTGTAATCAATCCTTGTGTCTTCACTTACACTGCTATAAGGCATTTAGAGTGAAACTCACCTTTTCTTGCTTTTATGGGTATTCTATGGCAGGAACAGACCTTCACAGTAGTCTACCCTATGATTCTGGATGGGTGTTATAGTTGATACACAGTGTCCACTTTAGAGGCTTGGCTAAGTGACTTAGCAGTTCTGCATCCCAGGATGAAAAGGACATGCCCTTATGGCTCTGGGATGCTGCTCAGTGTCAAACTGAAGAAGTTTAGAAGGCTAACTAAGTGACTGAGCAGGGACTGGGTCCTTACTTTGTATCATCCTGAGCCTGTGCAGGAGGAGGGCACTGAGATGGTGGGAGTGCTGCACGCACCCTGGGTCAGGGGAACCTGCTTACAATGTAAGGGAGGAAAGAGGCTTGTCCCCGCCCCCTTCTGCTCTTGCTGCTTTTGCTGTCTTGTGCCACTTTGAAGTGTTGCTCCTGTGCCCCGCCATCTTGCCTTGGAGCCAGCTGATTGTAGACTGAAACCTCCGCAAACTGTGAGCTAAATAAACCTTTCCTTCCTTAATTCTGGGCTTTGGGTATTTTGTCTCAGCAATGACAAATCATAACCAAGACAATGGGCCACCTGGTAATGAACCTGAACAGCCATAAATTACTTTCCATTTCTCTACATGACCAGACTGCTGCCTTAACTCTGAATCTGTGGGCCAGCCAGGCAGACTCTGTTATCTAGCAAGACCACTGAACTCTGCTATAAGACTAAGTTGCTGAATGGGCAATTCTGTTGCTTCTGATCTGTCTGGACTATAGGATGTATTCCCTGGCCAGAAAGTACTGCTGTTAGAATTCAGCATTTGGACAAGGTTTCAGGAGAGACCCTGGGTTTAAGTGTATAGGGATGAAGGAATCAAGTACTATGCTCAGTAGAAATGTACTGTTCAGTTTTGTTTCCCTCCTTGGGCACAATCTGAGTGTGGACTTTGAGGCTGAGCAAAGTGCTGATTAAAGTTCCATGTGAGGTAGAATTAGTGCCTGCTTCTGGCCTAAATTTGCTGTAGTTGTTGTTTTCCTCCCTGGGCGGGGTCGGTGGGTGGACTTTGAGGCTGCTAGGAACACTGATTAAATTCCCAGCATGGAAGATCTAGTGCTTGCTTGTGGAAATCCACTACTGGGATCTTCTACTCTGGGCTGGACCCTCGGGTAGGGGTTGAAGTTAGGCCTGGAGGCTGGCCATCTAGGGATTTAAGCCAGGTAGTAACACTTTTTACTTCTTCTGGAATGATCTGCATGGTTTTGTGGGTGAGCTGTGCTGTTCGTTGGTACCTCTGATGGAGCATTATTGCTGGCAATAACACTCAGCTGTATTATGACTCTGTATGCTGGTCTTTGTGCCCTGCCGCCCTGCTTTGTTTTTACCTGATTCCAGGTGGTCTAGCTTTATGGTTTCCCCTATTTTCTCTATTCCCTGTGAGATCAGAATGGAGTTGCCTTCCTACGAAACAGCTCAGAATGTTAGGGAAGCTGTATTTCCACCTTCCTGTTCTGTTCCCACTGTAGAAACCTTGGCCCTGGAGAATCTTGCTGTGCTGACTGGGAAGAGGGGGAGAGGCAATACTGTTAAAATGAGACACTTTCTCCTATCATTTCAATGCAGATTTTGATTCAGTTGCTTTGATGCTAGGTGACTCAGACTTAGTTCCAAGTTTGGTGGTTTTCAATAAGATTTTTTTATTTGTAGGAAGTCGTTAGTTATCCTTTGATCATTCTGTGGGGAAATTGAGGTCTGAGACTTCCTATTTATAGTCTTGCTGATTTTACTAGCCAAATTTGTTTGTCAATTCATCTGTTAATGGACATTTGGGTTGTGTCTACTTTTTAGCTATTGTGAACAATCTGCTATAAATATGGTTGTGAAAATATGCCTTTAAGACCCTGCTTTTAATTCTTTTGGAAAAATACCTAGAAATGGTATTGTTGGGTCATATCGTGGGACTATTTTTAATTTTTTTGGAATCTCCATACCATTTTCCATAGTAGTGATATCACTTTACAATCTTAGAACAGTACATAAGAGCTATTTCTTCATATTTTCACATCCCAGCCAGTACTTGCTATTTTCTGTTACTGATATGTTTATGTAGTTTATTTAGTTAGTTAATAGCAGTCATCCTAATGGATGTGAAAGGTTATCACATTGGGATTTATTATTTGCATTTCTCTGCTCTGAGTAATTTTTTTTTATATAACAAGACTCTTGGATCCATTGTAATACTTCACAAAAATGAGATATAAACAAGCAATTAAAACTAATCAAGATATGGGGGTGACCCAAAATGGAATACAAACAGTAACTGTGGAAAACCATATCCTGCCTTGATACTCTTAAGTTTAAAAGCTGAAAAAAACTGTACATAAATGTTGTACTCTAGTTCATAAAAGTGCTTCTCATAAGGGCATGGGTTAGTGATTCTAAAACTTCCTTATGGAAATACCAGAATTGAACATGTAATGCAAGTTAGTTTTCTTACTGTTAGAAAAAGAAATCATAAAAAGAAAAGGACAGAGAAGACTAAAATGAATCCTGTAGTGTCAGAATAGGATCAGAGTTAAAAGTACAAAATCATGGTTTCTAATAATAGATACGAGTAGATACAAAAATATAGATGAGTGTATGTGAGGGTTATTACACATGCAGATATTTCTGAGCTCTACACACTGAGAAGGCCTAGAAGCAGTGATACCCTACTAACATTGAGGGTAACTAATGCCAGGATCGAGATCTTAGTTTCTAATCACCATTTTTCAATAAAAGAAACTAGGGCTCTTTTGGAGATATGGTTAATTCCAGACCTGGGGCAGAAAAAATACATTTTGGAACATCTTGAGAAAATGCTTAAATACCTTGTTAAACACACACACATACACACACACACACATACACACACATGAACAGAAGAGTTAAACTGAAGGAGCTCTCTGACTGAACAATGAAGAAACAATCTGAAGAATTATTGGATATTAACCCACACAATAAAAGAAATACCCAGGCATTTATGCGCACATAACTAAATAGTTATATAAGGTGGTAGAAGAGATAGCAGCTCTTCCATATAGTAGCATTCTAATAAATAAAGTTCTGAAGCTCTTTCTACTATATCAGACTGCTTAAAAGATAATTAGCTAAGTCCTACGTAGTCAGCAAGGTTGCTAGGATTCCTTCCTTGACATCACCTGCTGTTAGAAACTTTAGGATACTCGAGGAAAACAACTATTAGGACAAATAGCCACTGCTAGAATATTATTAATCTATGACTCTTACTTTATAGATCTAGGCAGGGTACCTCCATGGGCTTGCAGCAACAAGACCTGTAGCTGTTGCACCTGGTAAAAGCAAAGAAAAATAATCAGCTAGTCATCAATCAAAAGCTACTTATCCCTTGGCAGTGAAATTACAACAATTACCAGTAGGATAATTTTATTCAATGCCTATGAAATCAGTGGTAGATCTTAGGTACTACAGAAGGCAGCGCTGGTTATGATTCAATGATTAAAAAGACAATCAGCATTTTGCATGAATAACCAACACTCAGAAGATGAGTCATCCCTTTTTTATTTTTCTGTGGTACAGGGGATGAACTCAGAGCCTTTGCACTGAGCTACAGCCTTGGCCCCTCTTTAACTTTTTATTATGAGATAGGATCTTACTTAGTCAGTAAACTGTCCAGGTTGAGCCCAAATTTGTGATTCCTCCTGCTTCAGGCTCCTAGAGTGCTGGGATTACAGGTGTATGCCATCATGACCACAAAGCTGTCCCTTCTATTTAAGCATCTTAAGGAGTTTTTACTGAATCCCTATTTTAAAAAATGAAACAGCACTAAGATAGGCGATGTAGGGGTGTACAAAATAAAATATGGTCCTACTCTTAAGGTTGCATCTAGTTGAATAAGGTAAGCCTAAAGGCTGAAATAGTAGAAAATTAAGACAATATTAAAATATCAGGTATAATGAACTGCTTTAGGGTTCTGAGCAGAAGCAAATCAATTAAATCTCAAAATAGTTAAGGTAGGGTTTGTGGATATGGATCTTAAACCAGAGTACGTGTGCAAGCATATTTCCCAGGCCCTCCTATGACAAAGGAGGAGCTATTCTGCTCCCTAAGACTAGTATCCTCACTTGTGCATTGACGCTCCACCCTTCTTGCCTCTTTATGGATCCTACTCCATTTGTTATACCTTCTCTCTTGTACATCTCACCTTCTCCCTTTTTATAGTACCCGTCCTACTGAGGTTAAAATATGTTCAAGTCTCTCCTACTTTAAGACAAAAGCATTCTTCTCAACCATACTTTCTGTCTCTATTGTCTTGTTTCTTTCTTGTTCCCAAAGTTTGAGAGAAAAGCCCGTACTAATTGCCTCCATTTCATTTTGCTTACCTCTAATTCCTCAACCTATTTCAATCTGATTTTTGCCCACATTATTCCATTAAAATAACTTGCTAAGGTCACCAACGATCTGCATGTCACTAAAACCAATGGGTATTTTTGATCTTCATTTTATTTGACTGGTAGCATTTGGCTTGTCAGGCACCACACTTTCTTGGTTTTCCCTCTTTTTTTGCGATTTTAGCTGAATATCCCTGTCTCTGGGTTTATCATGCCTGTTCCACTTCTCCACTAAATGGTCAAGTCCCTCAAAACTTAGTGTCAGTCTTCTTACTTTATTCTGTCTCATTACACTCTCTTCATAAAGTTTCTTCTCTGCCTACTGTTTCAATTACAATATACACGCGGGTAACTTCTCAATTTATCTCAAACCCAGATCTTTCTAAACGTTAAAACTTTAGATTCAATTATCTGCCTGGTATTTCTATTTAGTTATCTGTTATCAGCAAACCTGTCCCTTCTCCCATAAACCCCAGGTCAGTGAATATTCAGTTCTACAAGCAAAACATCCGGGTATCATATTCTCATTTCTTCATCTGATTCACTGATTAATTCTTTCTCTCACCACTGCTGCCATTCTAAGTCCAAGTCAGCAGTATCTCTCCCTTGGCCTGCTGCAGCACCTCCTCAAATAGTCTATACAAATCCACTCTAGCGCCACTATAATCCATTTCCATATAGCAGCCAAACCATCCTTTAAAAGTGTGAATTCTCAGTGTAACCATCCCGTTTAAAATCATTTTTCACATGGCCCATGAATCCTTGACCAGGCCTCTGATTTCCTTCTAGTCTCACACTGGAATACTCTTTCCTTGCTTTCTATATGCTAGCTGCACTGACATTCTTTGTTCTAAGTGCTTAGCATGTACTAATGCATTTAACCTTCAAAAATCCCTATCAAACAGGTAATACTATTATGTCCATTCTCCATATAGGAAAACTGAATCAAAAAAACTTGCCCAAAATACATAGCTGGTAAGCTATAGAGCCAGGACTTGAACCTGGGCCATTTATTTGTAGTGTCAATGCCCCATGATGCTGTTCCTTCTCCTTAGAATTTTCTTCCTTCTTTTCTCCACTGTTTATTTTTCTTAATCCCTCAGATCTTAGGTCAAATGTTGCTACCTCAGAGAAGTCATTCCAGACCGACTATATAACAGATGATGCCGTTTTATACTCACAGCACACTATCTTGATGTATAATTATATAACATTATATTATTAATTATGTGTTCAGTGTTTGTGCCTCAAGCTAAGTAATAAAGGAAATGCTGCATAGTTCAGTAATGCATCCCAGCATAGCATCTGGCACATAATATTGTTCAATAAATATTTACATTGGAATGAACGAGCAAATAAGTGAATAGGAAGAAGAGTATTTTGGCAATACGAATAAACAGAACAGAACTGAATGTGGCAATACCATGGACAGGCAAACTGCTTACATTCTCTGCAATGACTCCTTAGAAGAATGGATACGAAGAAGGAAAAGGAAAGAGATTAACTGAATAGCAGCCATTGCTGCAGGAGGAAAGCCAGAGAGGGAGTGTGAACCAGATACTCAGGAAACACTTGATTTCCTGTAGGCAGAGTAACATCCACTGGAAGGCAAGAAACTATGACACCCCTTTAAACCTGCACCAATGCAATTCCTACCTTCTCAGCTCCTCTACCAGGGCAACTGAGTTGTACAAACAGTCATATTAATACCACGACAAACTTACGGTCCAAGCTAGCAGCATCTTCCATTTCTGTTTAGTGATTTCAAGCCCTCTACCCTACTATCGGACTACAGTACTCAACACTTAGATGACTTTGACTGAGTTCATGTTCTCAGTTTCAGTCTCTCCCAAGCAGTTCTTCTACTTGTTCAAGTCTCTCCCGCATTTTAAAAACAGACATATATCCCTTAAGCCTTGTTTACCTGGTTATTGCCTGTTTTCTCCTCACCTTCTTGAAGTAAGAGATCACTGGCTTCCTGTACATCCTTATCCACCATTCTGTCTAGTTTTTCTGCAGCAACCTGTTCTTTCCATTTCTTTGGCCTTCTTACCAAGGTCACCAATCGCCTCCTTGCTGATACAAGTCAATGGTCCTTTTCAATCCTTGCCTTACACTTCTTTGTAAATGTATACTTTGGATGACCCTCCCTGAAATGCTCCTCCCTTGGTCATTACACCACTGGTTTCTTCCTCTCTACTCCTTGTAAGTCTCTCTTGTCTTCCTTCCTTTCCCCATTCCTTAAGTGCTGGTGTTCTATAGAGGTCTGATTTTGATCTTCTCTTCTTTACTTGCTCATTCAGCAAATATTAATGAGTGCTTCTAATGTGACAAGCACTCTTTGAGCTCATCAACTCCCTAACCTCAAAACACTGTTGACTCTTTTTTTTTTTT